GATGTGAAGAACATCCCCTAGTCGGAGATCCTCGCAGGTTTCTCCAGCCAAGGAGTTTCTGCTGTGCGACGTATCTCCACTCGTAAAGAAGGAATTATGCTGCCTACCAAGGTTCGTATTTTGACGTTTACAACACCACGTTCACCTGCCCATGTCAAGGCAGGTTATTCTTCCCATCCCCTTTCCATATTACTCTCCAATGGCCAGGAAGTTGCTGATGTACAGAACATCACTGATACTCTCGGGGAGAGCTTTTCTCGTGCATCCAGCACTTCTGTTTCTTCCCATGCCTTCTTGGCCATCAAGGCTTGAGCAGAGCAATTGCCTCTTTCCTTTCGGGCTGATCGTCTCCGTGACTATAATTGCGCCTTACACTGGTGGAACTCAAATTTCCTCTTCATCAGTCTAGAAGTACATCAGTCGGACTTGATGATGTTCACTATGAGATGACGTGCCATCTCTCTCCTGCCTCTCTTGCTATTATTTTAGTTCTTTTTAATAAGATCTGGCAGGAGAACATTTTTCCTGATGCTTGGTACCAGACTATTGTTCTTCCTTTTTCTAAGCCTGGGAAGAATCCTAAGATTCCTTCTAATTATTGTCCAATTGCTTTGAATAGCTGTCTCTGTAAGGTCTTAGAGAGGATGGTTAATGCTCGTCTTGTTTGGTTCCTTCAATCAAACAACCTCTTCTCGCCCACCCAGTGTGGGTTCTGTCTACAGCACTCCACCATGGACCATCTGATTCTCATGATGGAACATCTTGTTTCTGTTTTCCCTCGATCTTGAGAAGGCTTACGACACTATGTGGAGGTACAGCATTTTGCGGGACCTTCACTCATATGGGTTGCGTGGCCATCTACCCATTTTTATTCAGAACATTTTACTGAACAGGCGATTCCGAGTTAGTGTGGGTTCGACACTTTCGGACTGGAGAAGTGTGGAAAGCCCCCGTGCAGAACAAAAGCCCCAGATGGTGAATGAGGTCCAGCAACTTCAAGGCTGAGGTCCTCGCAGAACCAGAGACCCATAGTCCAGTTTGGATTGAATAAGTTCACGATAGATCTTGAGTTTAGAATACTGATCTACTCCCCAAGAGGTGGAAAAGAGGACATGGGGTGTTCAGTGCCCTTGTACACTTGACGGGTAGCTGCTTTATGTGAGGAATGAAAGTAACCTTACAGTCAAAGATAAGCCCCAAGAACTTTGCCTTACGGACCACGAGAAGAACAATATCACCAAGACGAAGTTTGGGATCGGGATGAAGACGGCATGCAAACGGTTTTGGAAAAAGAAAAACCGTCTGCTGTGGTCCACTTCAACAAGTAATTGAGAGCAGTCTGAAGCTGGTGCTCAATAAACCTCATGCTCGATGACCTACATGATATGTGGAAGTCGTGAGCATAGATTCTGTTAGCAACAGTAGGAGGAAGTTGTGTAATGATAGCATTGATCTTGATGCTGAAAGGTTTCACACACAAGACACAGCCCTGAGGGACACCAAGTTCCGGTGTGAAAGAACGAAAGAAATTGTACGCTGATGCCCATGAACCTCCTCTTCACCTCTGCCATATGCAAATTTTTCTACAGTATGCTACCAAGCTTCTGTCCTTACCACAGCATCCCACCTGGGATTGGGTCTCAGTGGGCTGTGCTCTTTCAGAACAGGTGGTTGCAATTCCTATCTTTGGCCTTTGTATCAAGGCACATCTGGCTGAATTGGGTCTGGCATTGGATGACGTTGCTGTCCCCAATGATCAGCCCATTCCACCATGGCTTATTACCATCCTCGAATGTGACCTTTCTTTGAATCATCTGAGAAAGGCAGATACCATCGATTGGAAGTACCATCTTTCTCTTTCTGAACACCTTTTGAACCATTCTTCTATTCCCGTTTATACGGATGGTTTGAAATCAGGTGACTCTGTGGGCTCTGCTATGGTTTGCTGTGGCTCGGCAGTTGCTCACAGGATCCCTTCTACAGTTTCT